GGAGTGCAGTGGCACAATCTCGGCTCACTGCAAGCTCCGCCTCCCGGGTTCATGCCATTCTCCTGCCTCAGCCTCCCAAGTAGCTGGGACTACTGGCGCACGCCGCCACGCCCAGCTAATTTTTTGTATTTTTAGTAGAGACGGGGTTTCACCATGTTAGCCAGGATGGTCTCGAACTCCTGACCTCGTGATCCGCCCACCTCAGCCTCCCAAAATGCTGGATTACAGACGTGAGCTACCGCGCCCAGCCTTGTTTTGTTTTGAGACAGGGCCTGGCTCTGTCACCCAGGCTGGAGTGCAGTGGCACAAATTCAGCTCACTGTAACCTCTGCCTCAGGAGTTCAAGTCATCTTCCCACCTCAGCCTTCCGAGTAGCTGGGACTACAGGCGCACGCCACCATGTATTCTTTTTTTTTTTGTAACGACGAAATCTTGCTATGTTGCCCAGGCTGGTCTCGAACTCCTGGACTCAAGTGATCCGCCCACTTCAGCCTCCCAAAATGCTGGGATTACAGGTGTGATCCACCATACCTGACCCTAATCCATATTTCAATGTCCATCTGCCTCCTCTATAGATTGCAGGCTCCATGAGGAGGGTGCACCTGTCATTCACAGTTGCATCCTCATTGCCTAGGGCAGTGCCTGATACATCATCAGTATACTGTATATATACATCAGTGTATATATGTACAACAGTGATGTATACTGATATATACATCAGTAAATATCAACGGAATGAGTTAAAACAGGAAAGCTTATTAGCACAGAAACCAAAGCAGAAGCAGCAGCACACACGCCCTCTTGAGATTGACAAAATTGTGCTGTAGTCCTAGGCTGCTGGTTGTTAAGTGACTTTAGGGAAGTCACTGTGGCCATCTGCAGATTGAGGAAATTGACGTAATTATCTCTGAGGTCCCTCCCAAATTCTCATGTGTAGTTGACATCTATTATCTATTGCTTATATGTCACTGAATTGGCAGGTATGCATAAATAGAATTTGCCCCTAACTACGAATGTGATTGTGTATATTTTCTTTAAAAAAAATTGGGCTTTTGTTTCTCATATTGAGAACTCTGTTATGCCATTGTTGAATTTCTCGAAGATTTCCCCCCACCCACCTTCAAACTCTACTTCCTTAGACAGATTTGGCAATAGCTTTGTAAGTGATATGGACATAATTGCCTACAATAATGAAAACCTACAGGATTCTTTTTTCATTTTCCCTTTGGCATGTTTACTATTCCCTGCCCCACCAGGCAGGGAATTCTGAGTGTGTGAGTGTGTGCACCCCTTACAAAGACGACTACTATGTTACTAACATATTTGATTTGGAAAAAACAACTGTAGGCTGGGCGCGGTGGCTGACGTCGGTAATCCCAGCACTTTGGGAGGCCGAGGTGGGCGGATCACGAGGTCAGGAGTTCAAGACCAACCTGGCCAACATGAAACCCCATCTCTACTAAAAATGTCAAAATTAGCCAGGCGTGGTGGCACGCTCCTGTAATCCCAGCTACTTGGGAGGCTGAGACAGGAGATTCGCTTGAACCCAGGAGGCAGAGGGTGTAGTGAGCTGAGATTGTGCCATTGCACTCCAGTTCTGGGTGACAGAGCAAGACTCTGTCTCAGGGAAAAAAAAAAGAAAAAGAAAAAACAATTGTTTTTGAAAAATGATTTGTAATGTCTTTCACAGAGACTAAATGAACAGTATGTTTTGATACTTTTTAAAAAATAATTGTCTTTTTAGATTCCGATTCATGTGCACATGAATGTACCCATGTACGTGGTTGTATCTCATGATGCTGAAGTTTGGGGTACAATTGATCCCATCACCCAGGGTACAGTACCCAATAGGTAGTTTTTCAACCCTTCCCGCCTCTAGTAATCCCCCGTGTCTACTGTTCCCATCTTTATGTTCGTGAGTACCCAATGTTTAGCTCCTACTTATAAGTGAGAACATGCAGTATTTGGTTTTCTGTTCCTG